GCCACTGTGCTAAATAAAAACCTTGGATTGTTTTGGTTATTTTCTATGAGTTTATGGATGTGCTCGGCCCTGGCAGCTTTAGAGACGTTTATATTGTTATCGATGGTGTACCGTCGATAAATATCGATACCGTTTTATCGCCCAGGCCTATTTTGACCTCACTATTCGGGGAACAGACACAGTCTTTATAGATTGGACAGCGCAAGTACTTCTATCATTTAAGCGGGTAGAACAAAAGTCATCATGGCAGTTATTTGAGATTTGACTTACTAGTCATATGGAGCCTAGCGTCCTAACTGATGACTGTTGTTGTTTGTAGGTATATTGAATACATGTGTGATATGCTGGCAGAAGAGCCCATAATCCCCCACAGCAAGCCTATTACCATCCGCTCCGTCGCCATGACTCCCGTACCACTCTTTAATAAGCAGCGAAACGGCTGTCGGCCGTTCTGTGAGGTTTACGTCGGTGACGAGCGAGTCGCAACCACTTCACAGGAATATGACAGAATGAAGTAAGTCACCCTGTGATGAAACTTAACGTCATGTGATTCCTTGCTGACGGACATTATTGAAAAAAAAATATATAGCTAGTGTCTGCATCTCTAACTAACTTTGCCATTTCTGCAGGGATTTTAAGATGGAGGACGGGCGAGCAGAGATTCCTCTGAATATAACTGTGCAGGGAGACGTGCTGATAGTGATTTATCACTCACGCTCAACGCTGGGCGGACGCCTGCAGGCCAAAGTAAGACTCATAGTGACCGATATTTGTGAATATTGTCCCAGTACGTGTTTATAAGCAGAAATTAACAAATGCAAGTAAAATGTTACTGACCAGTTGGCCGGTAACTTTATTAGGAATGGCATTATTATGATATAAATGGCATTAATGGATTATGATGTAAACAGCGATGTAAGAACAGTAGTTTAACCCACTGACAATTTGAGCAAATCAAATCCCAGACAAATATACCATTGTGCATCTTTTAAAAACGATTTTTATTTGCAAAAGCGAATGTAGTTATAATATTGTAATACTTTTTACATTTTCAATCTCTTCCCTATTAACCCAGAGCAATTAAAAATTAAAAATAAATAAATAATACAAAAAAACAATTGTGCATCTCTTTTACAAATTGTACCTCGTATGTCATAATTCCATCCATTTAAAGCCACCATAATGAAAATAAGGAACAAAATTAAGATGGTTCACTACGTTTTTTTTTTCTTTTCGTTTTTGCTGTTTGATTGTGAGATTTGTTGCGTTTGATTACAAGTTTAGGAGGTTTTGTTTTGCCGCAAAAATACAATGGATAAACGGGGATAATTCATAATTCACCACATAATTAATATATATTATTAATAAAACAATGCATAATACGTTTTCATAGATGATAAAAATACTAGAATTTGTCAATTATTTAACACAGATGTTACATAGTCGTTAATATAATCATTTTATATAATTTTTTTAATATATGTTATATAAAACTATATAAAACGACTCAATAAAAATATAAAACTTTGTAAAATCTTTAATAATTGATAGAAATTATACAATTATTTTCATTAAATATTTTATTATTATTATGTTTTATATAGTATAGTTGGTATGTTGTAATGTATGTTAAGTTTAATTGCATATTGTATGATTTTTTTATTATTGTATTATTTTTTTTATTTTTTTTGCCCTAAATATAGCCTTTGATATGGCATTAAAATAGTAAAATAAAAAGTGTTTTTTGGACAATAAGAAATATTAATGGGCTGGTACATTTTCTCATTTCACCTACAGTGATATCTATTCTTTCTATTCTATTCTATCGCTTGCTTCCAACAGATCGTCACACTGGAAGCCCTTGAAACCTTTTCCACCCATTGTTCATATTTTGTTAATGCTTCTTAGTCATTGCGATTCATTGCACACATGCTGTGTTGTGGTTTTTGTAGATGGCTTCCATGAAGGTGTTTCAGATTCAATTCCATACTGGGTTTGTGCCCAGAAACGCCTCCACTGTCAAATTTGCAAAGTAAGTTTCACTTTACTCTTAGAATGATCTCATATCAGTTTCACATTCAGTTTTATGTCAAAATGTGATGCTCTTTTAAGATGGTGATGCTGTGTGTGTTTGCAGGTATGATCTCGATGCTTGCGACATCCAAGAGAAATACCCCGACCTCTTCCAGGTACATGTAAATGTGGAGGTGGAGCCTCCGGATCGCCCTAGCAACAAGGCTCCGCCTTGGGAAAATTTTGCCACGAAAGGACTCAATCCCAAGATCCTTTTCTCCAGCCGAGATGAACAGCAAGAGATCCTGACAAAATTTGGTGAGTTTTCTCTCTATTTGGTTGTTTTTTTTCTGATTTTTCAGGGTTATCACATGTCCTTAAAAAGTCTTAAAATGTCTCAGGTTCAGTTTGAGTCTTAAATATTTTAAATGGTATAGCAAAAGAATTGAAATACAGCCTAATGTGATTATTAAACATATAAAGACCAAGATCAGTGAATACTGCGCCTTTATGCCAAGCGATTGCTTATGATCCACTGTTGATGAGTTATGATAGTTTGCTTTATGGTGTTTATATTATGGATCGTTTTAGGAGTGCATATTTTATCTTATCTTTTTGAATGATTAGCTGGAAGTAAAGCATATACATTTCAATATAAAAGAGTCCTTGTCCATTTTAGGCTTGTTTATAATTCAGAAACGGATTATGGTAATTTTTTTTGGTATAGTAATGGTGTTTTGGTTACACAATAAACTATATCTAGAATTTAATTACACTCTGTCAAAGGAAGTAAGAACATTATTTAACACATTCAATATATAGATTTTATTAGTTTTGTCACAATAATCTGTATATTGCATTTCTTTAAATATATTTATATTGTCTATGCCAAATAAAATATAAATCAACCTTTATTTCATATGCAATCATACATTGGTACATAAATGAATTTCAGGTTATTTTAAGTCTTAAAAAGGTCTTCATTTTAAAACTCTGCAGATACCCTATTCTTGTTTCTCATCGACATTATGATGTTACACATTTCCAATTAGTTTTAACTTGAGATGTTTGTTCTTAATCTTTCTGGTTGATCAGGTAAACCAGAGCTTCCACGTCAGCCTGGTTCAACAGCCTGTTACACCTCTGAACCGACCCAGCCGGAGCGTTCGCCTGAAGGGCCACAGACCGAGCAGGATTCCCCTTCTCCTCAAAGCACAGACACCAATGCCAACAACTTCTTCCAGATGCTTGACTGGGAAGGTATACAGCATATTCATAAAAATTTTATGCGAATGAGCACTAGGGTTATGCCGATAGACGATAGTATCGTGTATCGACGATAGTCAGAGATATCGCCTGTGGCTGATGCCTTTGACGATAGCAGGACTATTATTATTATTAATATTATTATTGTTATTATCAGGCTAGTTATACTATCTAATTAATATTAGGGCTTATTGGTTGCATTATATTTCTTCCGCGTTTTTACAGTATTGCGTGTTTTAACCAATCACACACGATTATGCTGAGTTTATGAATGCAATGGCCAATCAGAGGCGTTCAGATGAGTCATCACTGAAACAGCGGAGTTCCGTTGTTCAGTGCGCGCTGACTGAAATCTGACTCGCGAATTCTCTCATTATAAACAACAAAGTGCAGATCTACGTGCGATGTAAGTATAAGATTTATTCATCATACAGTGTATATTCACTGATTTTAACGAGAGTGTTTTTAGAGTGCATAACGCGCTAGACTGAGCTTGTGATGATGTTCTTTGGTAATGTAATGTTCTTTGCTCGTTTTCTGTAGCTGCTTTTTGAATAACTGAGGAAATGTAAGCATTATAATTAGTAACTTACGATGTTTCTATTAATTTGTTATCATGTTAAATACAAATTCAGTCATATTAAAAGCATTAGGCTGCTTTTAGCCTTACGCTGAAGTTGGTTCACTTTCCCGCAATGAAACTAAGTAAATAATTACATAAATTAGCACGATAATATCGTGTATCGGCGATCTCACAGGCTGACTATAGGACGATATGAAAATTGAGCATATCGCCCAACACTAAGCACGCATAATCCATACACTTTTTCATGGTTTCCCCCGATTGTTAGTTGGGTAACACATTAACTAACATAAACTAACAATGAGAAATACATACACAAATACAGTATTCATTAATCTTTGTTAACATCAAATGTAAAATCCATTAAATAATATAATCATGTAAAAATCCATTAAATAATATAAACAGATACAACTTTTGATTTTAATAATATATTAGTAAATGTTGAAATTAATATTAAAATTAACAAATGCTTTAGAAGCACTTTTCATTGTTAGTTCATAGGGATGTAACGATTCACTCAACTCACGATTTGATTCGATACACGATTTTGATTATTATTGCTCTTTTGTTGGTTTTGCTTGCTTCTATTGTCCTCATTTGTAAGTCGCTTTGGATAAAAGCGTCTGCTAAATAAAATTGAAATATTATGTAAATGTAAATAACAAAACTAAATTGAAATTTTAAAACAAGCCCCAAATCAAATAAATAGCACAAATAAAAGAAATCTCTTCATATACACAAACTAAGGCTTTGTCTGTGCTCTTTCCATTTAAAATGAGAGGCAACCACTGCATTTTAATCATGATCCAAACAAAGATGCTGCATACATGCAACATGAGCAGTTTTTAATCTAAATTGCATTGTATACCATCTAAACTTTTCTAAAGACAGTAAGTTCCCCTCAGACATACATTCATATAAACTCCTACCCCTAATTGAATCGCGATTTGTTTAGCATCTCAACCGATTTGAATCGTCACGTATTTGAATCGATTTTCAACCGGCTCGCGGTTAATCGTTACATCCCTATTAGTTCATGTTAACAAATGCAGTTAATTAATATTAACAAATGGAACCTTATTGTAAAGTTTTACCATTAGTTGTCTCTGCACATTAAAGGTGAAGTGTGTAACTTTTCATAATATTAAAATATTTCCTTTTTTAGTGTGTTTAATGAATAAATGTAATTTTACAGGGCTCAACAGTGCATTTAACTCGCATTTGCGACTAACTATAGATGTGTGTGAACTGTACAATGTATTTAGGAGCATGTGTGCAAATAAATAAAAAAAAGTTAAATTAAAATTTACGGTCATAAAAAGTCTTAAGTATCTTAAAAATACAAAAACAAAAGTCTTAATTATCATTTTAGATGGTCTTAAATTCGGGGCTTGAAAACAGGAATCTTCACAGCTTCATGTGATTATCAAACTTCAAATGCTGTGATTTAATAAAAAAATGTGAGTGCTGCACATTAAGTCTTAAGTATCTTAAAAATACAAAAACAAAAGTCTTAATTATCATTTTAGATGGTCTTAAATTCGGGGCTTGAAAACAGGAATTTTCACAGCTTCACAGCTTCATGTGATTATCAAACTTCAAATGCTGTGATTTAATAAAAAAATGTGAGTGCTGCACATTTCAAAGTCAAAATAGACTATTTGAAAAAGCAACATGAATTAGCAAAGACATTTCAAAATAGGAGTCCCGGCCTATTTCTGGCTTGTTTATAATTTAAAGTCCCACAATTTGCGAACATTTTACTGGTTAGTATTGGTATTTTGGTGTACAATAAACTGTATCTGACATTTGATTCAATGTTTAAGATATAAATTACATTATTTTAAATAAATACAGTTTAAATCCGAAATATAAAAAAAACTAGTATACTTTCTGTGTGTTTTATATATATTATATATATAGCTTGTAAATGTTTCTTCATAACCCTTTAATAAGGAAAATCTAATTATTTGGTAAATTTTCATTGTACTTCTGAAGTTCTTTATGCACAACATAATTTTTCAAATTAGGGGCACATGTGCTCCTTGGGGAAAAAAAGTAAGCATTAAATCCTGTTTTCTGAATTGTTTGGCACATTTTGTTCCTCAATGGCATTTATTACATAGAAAGTCATTTTATGTCATTTGTATATGTGGACCATCATCTTTTCGCCAACCAAAGCATTTCTTTCTTTAGCCTTTATTATATTTTCTGCACTTAAATGAGCTGTACTGTATTATGGTGTGTTTACAGATGGCAGTCGGCAGTTCGAACATTCTGACAGCCAATTGGAGGACCAGGATGATTTGAGTGGCGGATCGGAGGAGGAGTCAGTGTCTTACTCCGCCCCCGTTGATGGGACTCTGTCACGTGACATCAGCGAACCGCTCTTCGAGGCAGACTTCACAACCACTCCACCTGACCCTCAGCCCGACACAGAGGACCTACTCGGCCTGAACTCTGACCCCTGTCCCCCAGCCACCGCCACTCAGCCGGGTCTTGCTAATGAGACGGGGTTGAAAAGTTCTGCCAGTAACAGCGATTTACTGAATGACCTGTTCGCCCCTGCACCCAATGCTGTGCCTTCAGCTAATGCAGAAGACCTGATGGGAGAAGGTACAGGAGAAGATCTGTTCTTCTCCAGCACGTCCAGCCAACCGGCACCAGCCACTAATAAAGGTAAGAGAGACTGTGTGCATGAATGTTTAAATGTTCAGTAACAAAAAGCTGGTCACCAAAAGTTTGGTAACAGCCCTATAGAGTCTTATTATATTAAGTGAAATTATTAATGAAATGTAAGAATTTGATATGAAAGATGATGACACATGCATTTAATAAGGTTAGGGGGAAATGCCCTTTTTATAGGCAAAAAAAATAATAATAAAAGACCTGCAAATCAATTCAAATAAATTTTAATATGCAGTTACTTTAGTCATATAAAATTTAATTTTCCAGCAACAAAATTGTGGCCAGTGAAAATGCTGAGTGGCTAGTAATTTTGGAAAACCACTAGCCACAGTGGCTGGTGAGCAAAAGAGTTAATGTCAAGCCCTGTATACAGTGAATACTTGTAATTATACTTGTATTGCAGTAAAAAATGTGGTGTTTAACCGGAGTACGGTGGTGGGGGTGCTTGACATGTGTCAAACACTAGAAAGGGGTGCACGCTGCAAAAAGTTTGGGAACCACTGCCTTAGAGCAAACCATTTGACCCCATATTATTCCAGTGGGACCATCTTTGTACTTTGTAACATTTACTGCTGCTTGCATTGAATAAAATGACAACAAATGAAATGCATATAGATAAAGATAAAATAAAAAAATCTAAAATTAATATTTTGGGTTAAGAAAATGAAGCATGTTTTAAGAAAAATATGATTTTTGCATTTACATGATTTTTAACTGAAATTCTCATCATATGTATATTTATATATATAGAGAGAGAGAGAATTTTCATGATGATACAGTGTGGGGAAAAAGCAACATCATTCAAATAAATTTAAATAATTCAAACAAAGGCGAGCTTATGATAAAAAGAAAAATATAAAATATTGCCATAGGATTATTTTCACTATTGCATTACAGAAAGGAGAATTATCAAAATTACAGATGCATTACGGTAACAAGGACAGATGAAATACAGTAATTAAATTAATTTCACTAAAATTATTTCAGTTATTTTAATTATATATATATATATATATATATACACACACACACACACAGTGGGTATAGAAAAGAATC